GAAATTATGCAAAGGCTTTCCTAGAGAAATTAGGTTATACTCATAATGAATCAACTTTCAAATGACTTTGAAGTTATAATTATTAACATACACAAATTATAGAAGTTAATGAAATTCACAGTACTATAGCCTCACAGTGCATCCTGTAGTAATTATGCCTGTCCACTTTTTTTATACCTTCACTGTTTCCTTCTGCTGCCCTGTGCTTTTGCCATCAGCACCGTCACCCTTCCTGGTCCTTAGCAACCCCCTTTCTACTATCGGGTCATTTTGTTGTTTTTACTTTATACGTTTGAGAGAAAGTGTGTAATATTTGTATCTCAGTGCCTGGATTTCTTTGCTTAATAGGATGTCTTTTAGCTCTGTCCATTTTTCTATACATGACAGCATTCCATTCTTCTTTGTGGCTGAATAATATTCAATTGTGTATTAATACTATATTTTCTTTCCCCATTTGTCTGTTGATGGGAACTTAGATTGATTCTGTGTCGTGGCCATTATAAACAGTGCCCTGATAATAATGGCTATGTAGGTTTATCATAAACATACTACTTGTTTTCCTTTACCTAGATACCAGGAGTAATGTGCCTGGATCACAAGGGAGTTCAGCTTTTAGGTATTTTAGGAACCTCCTTACTCTCTTCTGTGGTGGCTATCTTAATTCAAATTCCATCAGTAACTTCTAAGAGTTCTTTTTTACTCAACATCTTCTTCAATATTTTCTATGCTAATAACATTCATTCTAATTTAGGTGAGGTGAAATTTCATTGTAGTTTTGATCTATATTTCCTGGTAGCTGAGGATCACGTTCAGGTATTTACTGATAATTTATATTTCTTCTGAGAACATTCAGACAATCTGTCCTTTTTTAATTGGGTTACCTGGAGATTTTGTAAAATTTTTTAAAGTTCTTTAGGTATCCGCAGTATCAATCCATTTTCAAATAAATGGATAGTAAAAATTTACCCCATCCTGTAGGTCCTTTTTCTTCGTTCTGTTGATGTTTCCTTTGCTGTGCAGAAGCTTTTTTATTTAGCATCACTTGTCAAGTTTTGCCTATGTTTCACGTGCTTTTGAAGTCTGACCCACCCAATCATTTCAACATCGTCCATGTTTTCCTCTGCCATTCTTAGAATTTCAGGTGTTCGATCTATGTTGAGTTCAGTTCAGGGTGAGGGAGAGTAGGCCACCTCTGATCTGTGTGTGGATACCCAATTCCCCAGCACCACTGTGAAGACATTGCTGTTTTTTCAATGTAAGATTTTGACAGCCTTGCTGAGAATAAACATCAGTTGTCAGCAAATGTGTAGAATTATTTCTGGGTTCTTCATTTTCTTTTTAGTGGATTGCTGGTCTGCTTTTATATTAATGCTATGCTGTCTATTTTAGTTAGTATTTTTCTGTGGCATGTCTTAAAATCAGGTATTGTGATATCTCCAGCTCTGCTTTTTGCTCGAAATTACTTTGTATGACCAAAGCCTTTTTTGATTTTATATACATTTTAGAATTATTTTTCTAATTCTGTAAAGAATCTCTTGGGTTAAAGAGATGGCTCGGTGCTTAAGAGCACTGACTGCTTTTGCAGAGGACCAAATTCATTTTCCAGCACCCACATGGTGGGTAACAACCACCCGTAAGTCCAGTTCCAGGGGATCCAATGCCCTCTCCTTACCTCCACTGACATTGCACGACATGGGTGCACCTACACACATGCAGGCAATACACTCATACACATAAAGTAAAAATAATAAAATATTTTCAAAAGTTTATAAACAAGGGGACAGTAAGTCAAGTGAGTGCCTTGTGGCTAGGTCATAGAGGAAAGAGGATGGTGGGGGAAGAGAAATGATGAATGATCAGGAATGGTCATTGAATTTATTTTATGGGTAACAGAAATATTCTGAAATTTATTATAATGATGCATCATAATTTGGGGAACATGCTAAAAATCATATTATATGTTCTAAGTTGATAAATTATGTGACACATGGATTATATCTCATAAAGATTTCTTTTTAAAAAAGAATTCATCTATTAAGGTGAAAAAAGATTGCTCTGACTATTCTAGAATCAGAATATTTCTTCATAATTTTTAAAATGAAATAATTAGCTTTTATCTGAAGAAGATGTGTGGATTTTGTGATGATTAGTCTTCCCCATTTGATAGAATTTGGACTCAGGTAGTAGACATAACTCCTGGACTATCTGTGAAGATATTTCCAGAGAGGCTTACCTGAGGAGGGGAAGAGCTACACTTAAAGTGAGTGTCATTATTCCTTAGACTTAAGTCAGACTGGACAGAAAGAGAAGGTAAGAGCTACCTGTGCTCATCTCTCTCTGCTTCCTGTCTGAAGACCACAGACACAATGTGACCAGCTGCCTCTGGCTCCTACCCTTCCCAACATGACAGACTATACCCTTAATCTGTGAACCAAAATACACCTATTCTCCCTTAGCTTACTTTTTGTTATACAACTGGTCATAGAAGTAAGAAAAGTAATGAATACAAACATGAGGTTTGGTCTTAAATCTGTAGGTCATTGTGAATTGACAGACTTTGTAAAGACATGACATCATAATAACATGGAATATTTCAATCAATAAGAATTAAATATCTCTAGTTAGGTTTTCATTAGATTTTCTCAGAAAAAAATTGCAGTTTCAAGAGTAGAAGTTTCATTAACATTCATTGAATTTGTTAAGTTTCATATAATGCAGTCTCTTATTCTCACGCATCAAAAGTTTTATACTGCTTTTGTTAAATTCATTTATAAATGTTTATTTATAAATGTCTAATGGTTTCTGAAATTGGTTTGTGTTTTTAATTTTTTTTCATCATACTGGAAGTTGAAACTAGGGCCTCACATACTATAGGCAAGCACTCTACCACTGAGCTCTATCTGCAACTTTTAAAAAATATTTTTTTTCTAGTTCCATCCATTTACCTGCAAATTTCATTATTTCATCTTTCTTTACTGCTGAGTAAAACTCCATCATATAAATGAACCACATTTTCATTATCCACTTGTCAGTT